ACGCCAGTTGCGAAATTAACAGGCAATCCGAAGCCCGGGCCTTGTTCTGCCTTTGCAAATCAGCGACCTGCGCCTTGCGCTCCCGAGCGAGCTCGGTGGAGAGGTCCAATTTACCATCTGTGTCCTGCGTGAAACACAAGAACACAACACTTGATGGTGATGAGAGGGCCTGGAGTTTTGCGGTCATCAGTGCAATCTTGGCGGAATACTCTTGACGCCAAGCCTGCAAACGACAAAAGCTCGTAAGAAAGAACAGTAACACTTCAAGCCAACAGCCTGGGACGTTTGAGCGTCCTTTGCATTCGTCTCTTTCAGTTGCTGCACAGTGTCCTCCAGAGGAACCCAAAAAAAAACGGAAAGAGGGGGAAAAAAAGGGGTTGGTACTGCAACAAACATGCGCACCTGGAGCTGCGCCGCTTGAACCTGTGACAAGGCGCACTGAAAAAAAAGATCCGTGGCTAGCAGAGCGCCTTCAGTTGCGAGTTCTCGCTCAGCAGCTCGGTTTCCCTCTGCTTCAGAAGGGCGTTGGCAGCTGCGAAGCTGTGCAAAACTTTCTCACTCTCCTCCTTCTCCTGCTTGCGCTCTTCTTCTGCCTTCTGGGTTTTCTTCTTCAGCTGGTTCAGAGCTCCGGACGCCGAGCGATACTTGTTTCCTGCAATCGCAAACCCACGTCTTGACACGCCTTCAGCCTCAAGCAAAAAAACAACCACGCCTGACCACGACCAATGCCCTTGATCATGCCGACTCATGACCTGGTGTGCTGCAGAGAAAGATTCCAAATGAGACGGCGAGACTGAGACCCCCGCCAACCCGAGCCCGACCCTGATACGAGCAGTCAAGAAGAAGCTTCGCAGCACAAACGGCCGCGTTGAAATAGCAAGTGACACGCCGCTGAAACAATAAAAAATCAAGTGACAATTCATGCAAAATCCCCGGAACAACTCAAAACACATCCATGGCGAACTCATGACAATCAACATCCAGCGCGAGCATCCCTGTAGCATCCCCGCCAGCATCACCGCAGCATCACCGCAAGCGCGCGAAAAGAAAAACTTTTTTCCACAACACGTCCGACCAAAAAACGGCCGGGCACGCTAAGGAAAACAGTGGCAAGCTGGGCAAGACAGAGACAGCAATCACGGACGCGGCGGACGGCGGCGGGCTTGCACGACGGCGGGCGGTTGGTGAGAGGACCTTGGCGCGGGCTCGGCAGGCTGGTGCGCTTGCCGCCACGTAGCACGTGCTCGGCTACCAGGACATGAAGTGAAGGACAACATCCTTCATTTCTGATACCTTTAGTGTACCGCAGAAACTATGCACGGCGTACATAGTTTCACCGGTCAAATAAAAAGCGTGCTACAGTCGTCCCACGCGATAACTGGATTTTTTTTCCCTACAGTCGTCCCCCCACGGGGCAACTGGATTTTTTTCCTGGACCTCGGGTGGCGCAAGCGCGGCCGGGTTGAGGCTTCTATGGCGGGCAGGTGGCGCGCTAGGTATCGAAGCCTTCCACGTCGGCGGGCGGGCGCGGCTCCAATGCCGGGCAGGTGGCGCGGGCTCGGCAGGGCTCCGATGCCGGGCAGGTGGCGCGGCCGGGAGGCTTCTATGCCGGGCAGGTAGCGCGGCAGGAATGTGGCGCGCTAGGTATCGAAGCCTCCGATGCCGGGCAGGAATGTGATGCTCGAAAGCACAAGTGGCACTTGTGCTTTCGAAGTGCCTCGGAACTGGAAACAGGCACCAACCATTTTTTAGTTGCTGCCCGCGTGGAGTTCCGCTGCAGACTGCGCCGCGCGAAGACACACAACTAGAGAAATCAATGAGTCAGCTTCGGTGAGTCAGCTTCGGGCGCGGCGAAGACAGAGCACGCTTCTTTGCAGAGCACGCTCCTCTGCAGAGCACGCTCCTTTGCAGAGCACTCTCCTTTGCAGAGCACGCTCCTTTGCAGAGCACGCTCCTTTGCAGAGCACGCTTCTTTTGCAGAGCACTCTCCTTTGCAGAGCACTCTCCTTTGCAGAGCACGCTCCTTTGCAAAACACGCTCCTTTGCAGAGCACGCTTCTTTGCAGAGCACGCTTCTTTGCAGAGCACGCTTCTTTGCACAGCACGCTTCTTTGCAGGGCACGCTCCTTTGCAGAGCACTCTCCTTTGCAGAGCACTCTCCTCTGCACAGCACGCTTCTTTGCAGAGCAGGCCAACCTCTCTCTTTAGAGGGGGTTTCCCAAATGGATTCTATTCTACCTGACAGGCTCCTAGCACTCGTCCGTCCAGGAAATGACCTCGTCCTGCGAAGGATTCGAAGTCTAAAACGCTGCGTGCAGGCGTGTGGCTGCAAAATAATGACCCCTAGATATGCGCTGCAATTTGGCTCCAGGTTGCATTTCAAGCGATGTCAAGCTTTGCCAAAGGAAACCCCTTTCCCTTTTTTTTGGGGACCCCTTTTTTTGGGACCCCTTGTTTTCTCTTTTTTTATTTTTTTCTTAGCCCTGCAAAGGTTGGCTCGCTTGAAATGCAACCTGGAGCCAAATTGCAAGCATATCTAGGGGTCATTATTTTGCAGCCACACGCCTGCACGCAGCGTTTTAGACTTCGAATCCTTCGCAGGACGAGGTCATTTCCTGGACGGACGAGTGCTAGGAGCCTGTCAGGTAGAATACAATCCATTTGGGAAACCCCGTCGTCAGCGCGGCCGACAACGACTACGTGGGCGTCACCGGCACCTTCCTCGGCACGCCCTCGCAGGGAGTCTGGAGCACGGCGCGCCTGGACTTCTCGGTGCCGCCTGGCGGAGTCGCAAAGCTGCACTTCGGAGCCTTCGGCGGCTCGATCTCCGGGCTGGTGCAGCAGTCGGCGGGCACGCTGGACCTGTACAGCATGCAGATCAGGGCCAGCGCCTTCGAGGGAGACTCGGTCTCCGTGACGGACCTGCTGGCCAACTCGCTGGCCCTCACGGGCTCGGCCACTCTGGACGGACTCACTGCGCAGGGCAACGTGGGCTGCGAGCAGCTGCTGTGCAACGACGTGAACTGCACGGACGTGTTCACAACGGGCGTGGACGCCTCGGGCGCAGTCTCCTGCGCAGCGCTCACAGCCACCGGCACCCGGAGCCACGCTGACGTCCACCGGCGCCGTGTCGGGCAGCTCGCTGAGCATCAGCGGGGCGGCCAGCGTGGGCCTGCTGAGCTCGGCCACCGGAATCACCGGCAGCACTCTCACCACCAACAACACGGCCAACGCTGAGAACTTCACCACGGTGGGCGACGTGTCCACGGGCACGCTGACGGCCTCAGCACCGGGGCGGTCACGGGCGCCACGCTGACGATCACTGGGGAGGCCTCCGCGGGCCCGCTGGACTGCGAGAGCCTGGAGTGTCGACGGGCAGCGTGGTCTGCGGCGACGTGACGAGCTCGGGCACGGTCTCCGCGCCGTCTTCGCGTCCAACACGCTCATCGTGACCAACACCTCCGACTTCTCGGACGATCTCTTCTTGACGAAGAAACAACAGCGCGGCCTCCAACAGCGGCCCGGAGCGCGGTTGCTGGGCAACCAGAGCGCGCGGGTCTTCCTGGAGCGAGACGGCGGGGCGCACCAGTGCGAGCTCATCATGATCAACGACGAGGCGCTGGTGCAGACGAAGAGCCTCTCCACGCAGCTGTCCCTGACCACGAACCAGAGGAACCCGGCTGCCTCGTGATCGCGGGCAACACGGGCAACGTGGTCTGCAACACGAGCTTCACGAATTTGTCGGACAGCCGGGTGAAGACGGAGATGGCGGAGGCCGACGTGGCGGAGCTCCAGCAGCTCTTTGACTCGGACATGAACGAGGACCTGAGGCTGGGCTTCGCCTCAAACGACTTCGCAGGAACGAAGTGGAAGAATTTGACGGGCACCGCCCGGTGGAGCGACGGCACGGAGATGGTTACTCTCGACTACTCTCACCTCACCAGCGTGCTGTGGGGGGTGTGCAAGGGCTTCCAGGCCCGGCTGGACGAGGTGGAAGCCTGGCAGGCGCAGCGGGGGCCGAAGAACAAGTAAACATGGAGGCGCTGAGGGACCTGGCCGACGACTTCAACGTGCGTGACCCGCGGAAGCTGTACCGACTTGCGAGGCAGCGCGACCTCGACGTGACGCAGGCCATGGCCTTCGAGGCGCTGAAGGCCGACGTGGGCCGGCAGGTGCAGGCGCCCCGGCCGCGCGCTGGGCAAGTCGGCCGCCGAGGGGCCAACGACCGGCTGCATGCAGGAGTCTTCACCCGGAAGGCCTGTGCCGTGGAAAACCTCTGCAAAACAAGAAACGCCGAAACGGTCGGACCGGTCCACCAACCAATAAAAACAAAACCAAAAAAAACAAAAGGCAAAAATAATGACAAAACAAATACCAAAATCAAAAAAACCACAAAAACAACAAAACAAAAACAAAAAAAAAAAACAGCCATTCCAATACAAAAAAACCAACCACATAAACTAACAAAAATACCAAAAAAAAAGCCCACGCGAAACAAAAAATACCAAAACATAAAATACCAAAAATACAAAGAAGCGTGCCACGCAGGAGCTGACGGGGGACGACAAGAACTTCGTGGTCACGACCGACCTGGGCAACGAGTTCGCTACGCTGGACCGGGAGCTGCCCGCGGAAGCCGTGCACCGAACGAAGCGCCCGGAGGACCGCAACGCCACGGCCGTGGTGGACCGGGGACTCCAGACGCTGAAGAAGGACCTGGCCACGCGCGTGGCCCGCAAGGGCGGCCAGTGGAGCGACCACTTTGAGCAGACCGCTTCGGCCTACAACGCGCGGCCCCACGAGACGGCGCATGGCGCCCCGGAAGACGTGGAGAAGCAGCCGGCCACAGAGTTCAGGGTCCTCCAAGACAACGCCAGGTTCCAGCACAACAAGGACTTGACGAACCGCCGCATCAAGGCAGTGGCGGGCGCTTTCCGAGCACCGACGAACGCGGCGAGGAGCTTCAACCCTCAGTACGGCGACGTGCAGCAGCTGCGGGCCGTGGACTCCATGACCGTCCGGAGCACCGAGGGCCGGGAGACCGGCGCCCCAGGGCAGCGGCAACGCGGCGGGCCGACTGACGAGGCGGGGCAGGCCGGCAGCTGTCAGGCAGCTGGACGACTTCCTGGCGCCTCCAAGGCCCAGGACCCTCGACTGATTACGGCTACTTTGGACCAAGCTGGGAACTTTGCATAAGGCGCTGGAAACTTGTAGTACTTTGAGTGTTTTTGGGGAACCCTAGCATGATTTTCCTGAGTTTGCCCGTGCACGCAAGCCACCTTCAAAACATTTGGTTGGAATGGAGGCAAGGTTGAAGGTTGACAAAAAGACAAGCCTGCACGAGCACCCCAAGTCTCTCGGACGACGACATTATAAAAATCTAAATCCCCATGCGTCCGTGTCCTCGACCTATCGACCTGCCCGAGCAAGACGTCGAGACCGCAGAAGCCTCAGGCACCGAGGCATCTAAGGGTTGGACATCTGAGGTGCGCTAAGACAGCAAGGGTTGGATAGTGTTTTCCTTGCGCAAGCACGCCATCTGTTCACGTGACTTGCCGGGTCTCTGCAAATGGCTGACGCTGTACGCAAAAGCCTAAGAGCTACTTGTCGATGCCGATCGGAGCTTCACACCCACCATGCGCTCATTTTGCTTGAGGGTGGAGATGTACCGCGGGCCAGAGGATTGTCCTTTGATCCCCAACTTCGAGATCACGCTCTTTGCCGCGTCCAAGGTGTCCAGGCTGAGGTAGGTCTTCAGCGCCATCGTCAGCTCCGTGTGGAGGCTTGCTTCCTTCAAGGGCACCAGCTCACACATCTCTGTCATGAAGGCCTCGGGTTTGGCCTCCTCGTCCTTGTCTGCACATGGGACCAGGTCCATGGCGCTCATCTTCATCTCCGGTGGCTGCGGCTTGATCTCGGTGCCTGGGTTGTACTCCATCTCCACCGAGTCCACGAGATTTGCCGCAAGGAAGAAGATGTACTTGTTGAACTCTCCTCGGTTTATCCGGGTCTTGAGGCCATCCACGGCTCGCTCCTCGGTGGCCATGGACGGCTTCTAGGTGAAGCTGACCGTTGTCTGGCAGACTCGAAGCCGCCGCAGCATCCCATCCGGTCGAGTCACACGGGGAGGGTGATTGCTTGTTGCCACCAGTAAAGCCGTAGGCATGAAGTCCCGGGGACCCTTGTTGAGCTTCCTGCTGCAGACTGGCGCACCTTCCATGTCACAAAAGGGCTTGATGAAGTCATCCGCCAACGAGTAGTGCTCGGGGACTTCACTGGCCCAGGCCAGCCGCTTGCCTAGAGTCCTTGCATGGTAAGGCGCGGGTCCGTCCTTCGCGGTCAGGTAGCGAGTCTGTTAGTTAAACTCCAAAACCCAACACAAAACAACACAGTTCGCATACATGCGCACATGCTTCTTTTGAGCCACACGCGCTAAGCGGTTCGAGATTCAGTTCACAACTCCATGCACACTGCTGTGTCTATGCCACAGTCATGTAGGGTGTCTACATACCAGAAAACATTAACACCCCACCCCGCCTTGAACTTTGCCGGTTCTTAGGCAACAGTTCAATCTTCTGTACCACGTGAAACCGTCTGCTTCCTTCAAGCAAATCTTCTCCTCCTCCTTGCAAGAACACGCCTTGCCTCATATCTCTCAAACTCTGCCGCTGCTTGCTCGTGAGACATATGCTCTCCAAGCCTCTCACCAAGCACTCGCATCATGAAATCACCAAAGGTTTCTTCACCATCTTCCATCTCCACATCCATTGGTTCTGCTCCCGGATAAGGCTCCGGTTCTTCCTCTGCATCTCCTGGTGCTCCATCGAACACCTGAAATGGTCCATCTTCCTCATGGCCATCTTCTCTAACTGGCCGCTCCCAATAATGCATCTCACGCCAGTCGTCCTCATTGTTGTCCTCAGAATCTTCGCTCTCCTCTCGCCTGTTTTGCCAAGCGTTCATTTCTCTCCTGATTGATCCAATCGCTCGCTCGTTCTTCAACACTTCATCCTCGATTCGTCTCAACCGAGAATCCAAGTTCAACCATGCGCATCTCGCCATCTGAAAAATTCGGAAAACACCACAAAGAAACAATACAAGAATAATCCACATGAAAATCTGAAATCCATTCCACCACCACATTTGCGGCTCCTCATTCGCATTGCACATTTGCTGTCCATTCGTCCTCCCAAATTGGGACAAGAGAATACATCTCATGACCTGATCCTTTGGAAAATATCCCAAGGCATTCTTCATGTTCTTCTCCATGCAAAACTCATGTTTCCCCACATTCGACCATTCAGCTTTTCCTTCAAGCTCAACCACTGACAAGAAAAACAACAAAAACTTTCGTCTCTTTGCAGAAAGACGTTTCGTGTTGATGTCCGCAACATTCACCCGCGTCCCCACGGGCAACACCTGCAACTCCTTTTCTCTCACTGATTTCTGCAACCAAAGCAATCTGATCTGATAATGCTTCAGTCGCCCAACTCCTGCACGTTGCAACCACTGCCTTCCAGATGAACTATCGCTCCTCAACTCAAGCTGCACATCTGTTCCAACCAGAAAGCTCCACAATGCCCTTATCAACAGCGATTCACTTGCTGCGCTTGTACATGCAAGAATTTCAGCTTCACAGCTGCTCGTTGCAATCGACCTCTGTCCTCTGCAATACGTATAGCAAGGAACTGCATTGATACAAATAACGACACTGGTGGTAGATTGCCGCGTCACCTTGTTTCCACCCCAGTCGCTGTCGCAAAATGCTTCCACCACATGATCCCCGCCTTGCTGCTGCGTTGCACCATTCAGAATATGAATCATCCTGCGTCCAGGTACTGTAAATTTCAGCAATACCGCATATTCACTCGCTCCTTTCAAGTAAAGAATCAAATGCCTCATACATATATCTGCTTGCTTTGTTGGCCGACTCATCTTGCTGCTCAACATCTTCACGCAAAATTGCACATCCACTCTGTCTTGGCACAAATACATTGCACTGCCCAATGCACTCCGAAATCTCAGTGCCCCGCCAGCGTCAAGGAAATCTGACTCATCTGGCTCACCCAATAACTCATGCTCAGGCACTGACTTCGGCTTCTTTCCTTCAAGTTCATACGCTTTGACCATTGCTTCTACGTGCTTCGGGTTTTCAGCCATAAGAACACCATCTGGACAGAAAATCATCTTCTTCTTCAAGTACTCCATCTGCTCTCCTTCTCCAGCTTCACCAACAGGAAACGGTCCTTCTGCCTGTATGGTAAAATGTTTCTTCAGCTCGGAATCCAGCCATTCCAGGCATGCACCTTCTCCAACCACAATCTCATCATCCACGTGAACGCTCACCGCTAACGGCTTTGTCTCATGCCGAAACAGTGAAGGCATATAATCGCAACTCTTGAACCCAATCTTCACAAGAATAGCAGAAAAATGTTCAAACCATCTCAAAGCTGCATTTCTCTGACCTGGCAAACACCGCAAAAGCTGCCAGACTGTACTCTCTGCCATCTGCAAAATATTTCTCATCCATGGTCTCACCTCCACATAACACAACTCTTGCTGATACGCGTTCAAGAATGCGTCCTTGATGTCCATCACCATGACCTTCCATCCCAAACAAAGATGTAAGGACATCATCATTCGCACAATAGAGTGACAAGATGTGGGAGAAAACGTCTCGTGCGATGATGCGCTCGTCTTAAATTCTCGGGCCACAATCCTGCATCGCCTGATCCAGCGATTCTCACGAAACCGCCAGTCATACACCTCTTTCAAGGAAATATACTTTCCGGTCGAGTCAACCTGACTCCTCTCCACTTCTCGCACGACCTCCATGCTCTTCAGCTTGTTCACTTCTGCCCTTGCTGCGTCCATGTCCAATTGCTCCAATTCCTCCTCTGCCACTTCTGGAGGTTTCTCTCCTGAGAACTCTGAATCTTCTCCAACTCCAACGTCCTCAACTTCTTTGTCCCATGAAGAATCCTCCTCCTCTGGAACACACCACTCCAGCTCCTCATCATCTGTTTCCCTCATGCTTACAGCATTAACACCTGCAAACATAGGTGGGTAGAAGCCCACACAAGCAACCCTTGGCTTCTTCACTGGGCTTCCAGGATCGTCCTGATCATCCACCATCTGCGCACCGCCAGATTGACCAGAACTCGCTGCTGCTTGCGAACCCATCAGCTCTGATAGCATAGCATCGTCGCTCTTCAGTCTCTTCTCCTCAGAAACTTCACCTTCTATCGGCCTCCTCAAGTCTGTCCTCATCGCATCATCTGTACTTGCTGCAGCATTCGAAGCTTGACCACCATCCACGCGTGGAAGAGTTTTCACCTCCTCTTCCTCAGAAACAGGGTCTTCTGCTGCTTCGTCTCCACCTTGAGGATCTCTCGACTGTTCCTCCGCAATCATCGGCATAGGAGCAAAGCCCACACGAGGCTTCACCACTTTTGCTGCTTTCAGGGTCCACGGCGATCCCGAAACATTCATCACTTCTTCTTTCCTCCACCTCCGCACAGTCCTGCAAAAGAAAACACCATCTCCAATTGCTACTATATTCTCATCCTTGTCGTTCTTGCCCAGCCATACACCTCCTGACCAGATCGAAGAGGCTGTTCCTTTCACCATGGGCCTCTTGAGACCGTAAACATATTCACCAAATTGCGCAATCACTCCTGAATACATCTTCCCCATCAGTGTCTCGTACGGGGTTGCCATAAGCGCGGAATGCACGTGGTAGCGGTTCAAAAGCCAAGCTGCATGACACAATGCCCAGGCTCTGATCGCACCAGGAATCGCGCCCTGCATATTCTCCTCCAAGGCTGCCACCAACGCTAAAGCTTGATTCCTGACAGTCTGAATAAACCGCTCCACTCTGGCTGTCCGGCTTTCGTCATAAGCTTTTCCCAATACCTGAGAACATTTGCGCCCTAGTCTCTGCCGCGTTGCCACCACCAGATTCAACAAGCTTACTGTAGCTGGCTCCTGATCCATCACGAACACAACTTCTTCCTCCAAGTAATTCAGAAACAAAGAAAACCGCACAGCTTCCTCTGCCAGCCTTTTGCTTGCCGACTTCGAACTCACAGGTACTACCTTCCCCATTCGAGTCCAACTGTCCATCATGACCAACGACACACAATGCTGCCCCATGTACATGAAATCCGTGAGGCTTGCCAGTGTCCTCCTTCTCCTCCCATGTAGTCCTCTCGGGATTTTGTCCTCACACAAACACTGCACCAATCCTGAAACGGCAGATGCGTTGCAGCATGATCTCGAATCTCTCTGTCAGTCGGCTGTCTCACATCTAGCCGCTGCCTTACCTCCGGGGTCACCATCTGCTGCCGCATCTTCGCTGCCAGTTCAGAAGAATCGTCCTCGACTCTCCTTGAAAGATAATTGCAAATGCGTCCATACAAAACCTGCTTCGTACCAGATTTACTCAACCCATAGAATTCACAGCTTCTTCTCAGCTCTCTGATACTGCCGTCAACCACGACACTCTCTGGCTTCGTCCCATGTCCTCCAGCTGCTGGGACAACAAAATCATCATCTCGCTTTTGCCTCAATTCTTCTGGAACTCCTGACTCAAAACCGAACACAATTCCCTCACTGGATTTTCTCATCATCGCTTCTTCAGGAAATTCCTCTTCACTTCTCTCACGCCTATGCACGAAGGTAAGCATGTCACCCTCATAGCCACCAGGAAGTCTTTCCTCTCTATTCACCATGCTGCTAAGGTCTGCACCAATCTCAATTGCACACCAGCCTCCTTCTCGTCGCACAGCTGTCGTCCTGTAGTTCCACATGTTGGCGCGTCCATCTCCAGGTGGGGGTAAAAATGCATTACCACTGGAAAACATGCACGGCGTACCATTATCCAGAAAATTCCATCTGCCCCTTTTCGGCTCCATGCTGATTGTACTGAAACCAACATCCACTTGAACAGACCGCACAACTGCTTTGGATAGTTCTTGAACTGACATCACATTTGCTCTCACCACCAAACTGTTCCTTCTAAAATAAACAGGAATATCCACACTTCCATCCGGCGTCACCAGCTTTCCTGCTTCTCCAGGAATCTCCGACTGCTGCACTGTCCAGCCCATCTTCATCAATCTGCCAAGCGAAACCAAGATATTTGTCACGCCTGCCACCACGAAACTCTCACCAATAATACGTCGCATTCCCGAGACGTTCACCTGTGCTCCTTGAGCATCCTGCAACATCACATCCGGCTTGGCCAACGGGTCCGGGGTACCAAAGACACATCTGCTCCACTACCCAGCACTATAAACTCATCCCCTTTTGTCTCCACCTGATAAACTTCACCTTGCACCATGCTCACCGTTGCGGGCCCCTTCACCAAGCTCTGGCACCGATCCAGCGCTCCTTCTTCCATCCAGCTCATCCATGAACCAGCTATAAAACTCATCCTCCGGACACTCTGCGACCTCGTCACCTATCCAGAAATGTTCTGTCCCGCTTGCTGTGACTGCACACACCCAGTCGCCATCTCCCTCAGAAGCCATTTCAAAATGCTCTGTCTCACCGCTCAGGAGGGGTTGCCACATGGTACATCCTCACCTGTCTCACTGTTGGGGCATCTCCATTTCCCTGCTGATGAGCTTGCTGCTGGGGTCCAAGAGCTTGATCTGACTGAGCCACTTCTCGAGCTCGCGGATTTCTTGGACACTCATTTCCCCAGTGCCCATATCCTCCACAGATTCTGCAAACGTCTGTCTCCAAACGTTTTCCTTTTCCCTTCTGCATCTGTTTTCCTTTGCCCTTCTTGCCTTTCTTGCCTTTGCTCTTTCCTTTGTCTTTTCCTTTCCGGCTGAACGACTCATCCTGTCCTTTCGCTTTGCCCTTGCCTGAATACCAAGCTGTCCAGCCTGCTCCAGCACCCTTGCCATAGCCAAAACCTCGGCCACGTCCTTTGTCCTTTCCACCTTTGTACCCGCCTTTCTCCACGCGGTCCACCTCCATAGGTGTCGGTCCTTGAGCATCATGACTGCTGCTCGCCTGAAACTGCTTAAGCACAGATTGAACATCCCATGTTTTCGCACTTCTCTCATATCCCAAGATAAGCTCTCTTGCTTGCCTATACGTGGTCTCCCTGGTCATTGTCAAAGTGAGGTGTTGTCTCAAACTCTGGGGAGAACATCGAAGTAACACACCCAGTAAGACATCCTCATCAAACTTCTTGTTTGTAACCACAAAATATTCATTCACCAGCTGTTCCAACCCTGCTATTGATTCTGCAAAAGTCCTGTCTCGCGTAAAACCAGGATACGTTGCTATTGCCTGAGAGATCGCAAGTGATCTCTGCTTTGTCGCCGGCGCGTACTGATTCACCAGCACTTTCCACAGCTGCAAACCATTCTTGCTCGAAGACATACTCCGTGACAGCTGCAGCGCGCTACCTCGCAGATAGCTTGTCAGAACTGCATACAGCCGCACTGAAAGAGCTCTAGCCTCATCTGTATCTAAAGCAACATCTGCACCTGGGTCTTGTTGCTCCACCTGCTCAAATTGCATTTCCCAAGAAAGCATCTGCATATGTGATCCAGTTAAGGAAACCATGTCTCCAGATTGCCCACGCACTTCCTTCTCCATCGAAGTACTCCGGGTTCTTCAAGATCCTTGAAGCTGCTTCCAGGCCTCTGTACCCATCTGATGATTGGGATTGTCCAAGATTCATCTGGCCGATCCGAGTGACCACTTCAGCTGATGCCTGTACCGCTGCTTGTGAACCTCTTGCAATATTGACCAGTTCACCCATCAATGCACTAAACTGCTCCTCATTCATCGCTTGCACCATTGAACATTGCTCCACAAATAATGCAAATACAACTGCTTTCCACCGGCGCCTCATGCATATCCGTCTCCTCGCAGATCTCCGCTTCCATATTCGCACCTTCACAAAGTTGCTCCCCCGGCTCAAGCGCGTCACCACCATTCTGCAAATAACTGCGACTGAAAATGCAAATGAAAATGCAAGATACCACCACTCATCAAGAATTGCTCTGCACGTATACCATCCATCAAAAATTGCTCTGCATGCATTCCACATACCGGGAAAACCACTCAAGCTGTTGAAACTCAGGAATCGAAAACTCATGCTTGCCCAAAACCGTATTTGTGAAACTGCCTGCGCCACTCTCCAACAGAACATCATGCTTTGCACCGTCTGCTGTATGTTCACCAACACTGCGTTGCGAACATCTCGTGAAACCGCTCTCTCCTGCAAGCCCGGCAAGGTTCCTATCCTCACCTTCGTCCCGGCTGTGACCACCACAGCACACCACAAGCAGAAAGAGAAACCATGGCGCCATTGAGCTCTGTCCCTTGGATGGAGCAGAGCTCCGCTACCAAGTTAAACTCCAAAACCCAACACAAAACAACACAGTTCGCATACATGCGCACATGCTTCTTTTGAGCCACACGCGCTAAGCGGTTCGAGATTCAGTTCACAACTCCATGCACACTGCTGTGTCTATACCACAGTCATGTAGGGTGTCTACATACCAGAAAACATTAACACTGTTGCACCACATAGTTTCCCGGAAGCTGCACCCCGTAGTTGTCCTTGCCGTGACCAAGGAAGGCGCGCAACATCTTCACCTTGGTGTGCCGGAATGCTGGCTTCCCCAGATGCAGTACATCTCGCAGAACCGCAGCGTCGCGGAGATGGCCCTGGAGATGAGACGCAGCTCGCACAGGCCTGTTTGCCATTCTCGCGGCCTCGAGCAGACACACCCCCGTCTCCACATGCTCCTTCAAGAAAGCCAGGATGTGCTTGAAGCTTGGTTGCCTTGCTTGGCTGCCACACGGCCTGCCAGACGAGGACAGACCGTGAAGAAGGCATTATCGTTAAGGGGCGGCGGCGGCACGTAGTTCCTTCCACGGCCCAGTCGTCCCAGTTTTGCACCAGCCTCCCTTCTCGAAGCGTAGGGGTCTCTTCTCACCCCCCTCCACCGGAACGTGTACGACCGGGACCAGCGCATGCCCACGGGTCCTCCTCGTGCACGACCACCTTGACATCCACGGCTCGGAGCCGACGCCGTCGTGCTGGTGGTCGTTGAAGGCCCTGCCCGCTGCCGCCGCCATCTTCTCCATCTACAACCTCTCGTGATGGGCAGGGCAAAGGCCCCCGAGGCAGTGGAGCTCCACGTGCCAGTCCTTGGCCTTCTTCTGTGGCAGCAGCTCAAAAACGTCCGTGGTAGAGGCGCGCCGTCTCGAAGCCGCAGAGCGGCAAGCAGACCTTGCCGCGACCCCATCCGAAGCCAAGGGTATGTCCTGCAGCACCTTACTCGTCCAGTTTGCAAAACCACCCCCAAGCCCAGGGCAATCATCAGCTTCTTCGCCCGCTGCGCCGGCGGGCCTCGCAGCTTGTGGAAGAGCACGCGGCCGATCTGCGCGAGCTTCTCCTCACAGTGGTCCAGGTACTCCGCCATGATGGGCGGCAGCGGCTTCTGTCGGTTCAAGAGCTGAACGAGTTCTTGATGTCCGATGCCGCGCAATGTAGCGGACCAACTTCTTTAATGCAGAGCGCCCCACAAGCGTGTCTGGGACCCCATCTCGAGCTTGCGAATCTCCGGCGGCAGCTGCTTCATGACTCTGCCCGAGCGGAATTACCCTCACTGCCTTTGCGCTTTTTGGCAGGCGCCTTCTGTGCGCGCACCCGACCGATGCCGGAGAAGATCGCCCCTTCAGCCCAGGCGCGGCCTGGCGCAGGAGCACGGGAATCCACCCAATCCTGTCCCATTCACAGAGCGCTTGAACAGGCTCATCTGACATCAAAGAGACTGTGGTCGGGGCATCGCCGCACGGCGTCGAGCTCAGAGCGTTGCTGATGGTGAACACGTCCGTCCGCTCCCAAACAAGGCGATGGTGTTTTAGGTTATTCTTGGGAGGCTCGGTAAACTGCTTCTTGAACTGCGTGTAGTGCCCCAGTTGGGCGGGTGTCGGAAGCTCACCTTCTCCACCTTCTCCTCTGCTCCTCCCTCTACCTCCTCCTCCCCTTCTGCTCCTTGACCCCCGTCTGCTCCTCTCCATCTGCTCCTTAGCCGGCTTCTCGGCCGGCTTCTCGACGGCTTATGGGCCTCCGTCTCCGTCTGCTCATGGGCCTCAGCCGGCTTTTCGGCCGGTTTACTCCGTCTCTGTCTGCTCATGGGCCTTAGTTTTCGGCCGGCTCATGGGCCCTCAGCCGGCTTTTCGGCCGGCTTATTCCGTCTGCTCTGGCCTTAGCCGGCTTTTCCCGGCTCCTCCGTCTGCTCCTGGGCCGGAGCCTTTGAGAGCCTCCTTTCAAAGATGCGTTGGAGCTCCCGCGCCGACTCAGCTTCCTGGGTTTGGAGTAGTAAGGAAAGGGGGCTTATAGTAACCTAATTATTTGGGATTTTTGGTCCCAAAACGCTCCAAAACAGCCAAATTTCCAACCCGCTGAACTTGTCACCAGCGATGTCACCGCTTCGTCACCGCTCCGTTTTTGGAGCAAAAAGCGCTGAAAACGGCGAACTCCGAAAAGTGCGTTTTTCGTGTCCGGCGTCAAATGTGCTGCCTGCCTCCAAATTCCGCCGAAAACAGGCTCCAGGCGTTTGATGTGCTCCGAATTCCGTTTTCTGCCCCGAAAAGCCTGCGAATTCCAGCTGAGAGTACTCTGAGCTTGTCACCGCCGATGTCACCGGTCTCTAACACGTCAGCCTGCCGAGGCACACCACGATTTCCAACACGACAGCCTGCCGAGGTGCTCCCACATAACACGTCAGCCTGCCGAGGTTCTCCCACATAACACGGCAGCCCGCTGAACTTGTCACCGCCGATGTCTCTAACACGTCAGCCCGCCGAGGTACCGGGGAGGAATCGAACCTCCGAAATGTCGCTCCGGAGACCAACGCCTAAGCCATCTCACCATCGGCTCTCGTTACCGTCCCAAAACGGCGCTTTTTGGCCCAAAAACGCTCTCACCGCAATGTCACCGCTTCGTCACCGCTCTCTTTGGGGCCGAAAAGCGCAAAAGCGCCCCAGTTCCCGAGAGGACTCGGTTCTTGGTAAGTTTGAGTCAATAATCGAACCAGGTGATTCATCAATGGCTCGTGAATGGGCAAGGTTGGTTCATGAATGGGCAAGGTTGCTCATGAATGCCCCGCAAATCATAGCCGCTGAGACAAGTGTCCTTCGCCGGTCTCGTCATGTGGCCGAGGTGTCCCAAGCGTTTTTGACCGACGCCATCGGCCAATTCATCAGAGGTCTCGCTTCATGCCCAGTCATTCCACACTTCGCGTACTGGTAGGGGCTGTTGCGAGTTTAATTATACCACCCTGCGCTACGAAGGCCCCGAATGTCCCATAGCGACTCAAGTGAGGGAGCGTTGCGAAAGTACAACACCCCATTGTTACGAATTCGTGTAACACCTACTCCTAAGAAAACATGTTTGAAGGACCTGTCACGGGCAACATCCCGGAGGTCCTGGACAACGGAGAGGTGACTGACGGCACGCACGTCACAGCAGGACAGCTGGCCCTCGCTCTGACGCCCTATGCTCAAGTAACTGACCTGGCGGTGAACACGGCAGCCTCCGGCAACAACGCCGCTGCCATCCAGTCCCTGGACGACCGAGTCACCGCCGAGCTGGCCTCAAAGCTGGACAGCAGCGCGCTGGCGCCGGCAATTGCGCCCCCAGCAACGGCGGCGGCCCTGGCCACCACGGACGGACAGGTGGCCGCGCACGGAAGCAGCGTCGCAGCGCTGCAGAGCTCGCTGACCACGGGTCTCTCCAACAAGGCAGACCAGTCGGCCTTCGACGTGCTGGAGGGCGTGGTGGCCACAAAGAGCACCCCGGACGGCGTGGACCTGAAGCTGTCCAACTACAGCACCACGGCGGCCATGAACGGCTCCATCGCCTCGGCCAACAACGCCACGCTGGCCACGGTGGCCGCCAACTACGGCCTCAAGACGGTGGTGGACCAGCACTCCCACACATAGCGGCGAGGATCACGCTGCTGGAGGTGGACACCAAGGTGGCCAACGCTCTCCTGGGGGCCGTCACCGCCACGGCGCTGGCCTCCGAGCTCGCGAGCCGAGACGCCTCCATCTCGGGGCTGCAGGCCTCCAAGGCAGACGCCAGCGCCCTGACCGCCCTGAGTCGGCCGTGGACACTTCCTCGGAGTGGACTCTAAGATAGCGACAGCCCTCTTGGACGCTGTCACCACGGCAGCCCTGGACGCCGCCCTCCTCGGCAAGGCGGACGCAAGCGCGCTGGCCTCCCTGCTCCCGCGGTGGACGGGTTGGACACGCCGCTGGAGGTAGACACCAAGATAGCAAATGCCCTGCGCTGCTCAGCTACTACACCATCGCACAAGTAGACGGCCTCCTTGCCGGCAAGCTCGGAGTCACGGAGGCGGCCTCGGCGCTGCAGATAGCAGTGCACTTTCCGGACGACGGAGGGGCCGACGGGCGCCATAGGAGAGCAGATCCGGGCCCTACGTCTTGCTGTCAAACTGGACGGTTCGCCCCAGCAGCGGCTGCAGCGTGGTCCTGGCCACGCACACCGCGGGAGTGAGCGTGGACGGCTACACCCTGACCCTGGCGGTGAACCCGTGGAACATCGTGCGAGTAGTAAGGAATACCTGCCTATACACCCCTAATTATTTTGGTTTTTTGGTCCCCAAACCCTGCAAAACAGCCAAATTCTCCAACCGGCTGAACGTTTTTCCGATGTCACCGGTCTTTGTCACCACTCCGTTTTTGGTGCAAAAAGCGCTGAAAACGGTGAACTCCGCAAAGCGTGTTTTTTCGTGTCAGACGTCTAAAGTGGTGCCTGAGCCTCCAAGTTCGCTCGTTTTCCGCCGAAAACCGGCTCCAGACGTTCGCCGTGCTCCGAATTCCGTTTTCTGCCCTGAAAAGCCTGCGAATTCAGCCCGCTGAACTCGTCACCGCTTGTCACCGCTTTGTCACCACTCGCTTTTTGGGTGCAAAAGTGCGTAAAATCGGGCCCAGTTCCCGAGCTCCTTCTCCGCAGGTTTTTTTCGCGGCCCGTCAGCCCGCCGAGGTCCAGGCTCGGAGTCCGACAGCCCGCCGAGGTGGTCCGTCAGCCCGCCGAGCTTGTCACCACTGATGTCACCACTGATGTCACCGCTCCATCCGGCTCCGGTTTTTGGTGCAAAAAGCGCTCAAAACGTTCGAGTCCGAAGAGTCCGTTTTTCGTGTCGGACTGTAAGTGGGATGCCCGAGCCTCCAACTTCGCAGGTTTTCGGTGGAAAGCGGGCTCCAGACAACCACTTTGCTCAGTTTTCCGCTTTCGGGCCGGAAAAGCGGCGAATTCCAGCCCGCCGAGCATGTCACCGCTTGTCACCGCTTCGTCACCGCTGTCCGTCAGCCCGCCGAGCTTGTCACCACTGATGTCACCACTGATGTCACCGCTCCATCCGGCTCCGGTTTTTGGTCACCGCTCCATCCGGCTCCGGTTTTTGGTGCAAAAAGCGCTCAAAACGGTCGAGTCCGAAGAGTCCGTTTTTCGTGTCGGACTGCAAGTGGGATGCCCGAGCCTCCAAATTCGCAGGTTTTCGGTCGAAAGCGGGCTCCAGACGTCAGTTTCCCGCTTTCGGCCCGGAAAAGCGGCGAATTCCAGCCCGCCGAGCATGTCACCGCTTGTCACCGCTTGTCACCGCTTCGTCACCGCTCTCTTTGGGGCCGAAAAGTGCGCAAAAATGCTGAAAAGCGAAACCAGCTCCGCGGCTTCGGTCCGACTTCGCTCTGGTGCGGGCCTGGTGCAGGCCTGGTGCGGGCCTGGTGCGGGCCTGGTGCGGGCCTGGTGCATGCTTGGTGCGGGCCTGGTGCGGGCCTGGTGCGGGCCTGGTGCGGGCCTGGTGCGGGCCTGGTGCATCATGCCCAGTGGCCGATTTTATAGGTCACTGCGCCACTTCGCGTACTGCCAGGGGCTGTTGCGAGTTACTCAAGCGAGGGAGCGCTGCGAAAGTACAACACCCCTGCGTTATAGACCTACTCCTAAGAAAACATGTTTGAAGGACCTGTCACGGGCAACATCCCAGAGGTCCTGGACAACGGAGAGGTGACTGACGGCACGCACGTCACAGCAGGACAGCTGGCCCTCGCTCTGACGCCCTACGCTCAAGTAACTGACCTGGCGGTGAACACGGCATCCGCCGGCAACAACGCCGCTGCCATCCAGTCCCTGGACGACCGAGTCACCGCAGAGCTGGCCTCAAAGCTGGACAGCAGCGCGCTGGCGCCGGCGATTGCGCCCCTAGCAACGGCTGCGGCCCTGGCCACCACTGACGGACAGGTGGCCGCGCACGGAAGCAGCATCGCAGCGCTGCAGAGCTCGCTGACCACGGGTCTCTCCAACAAAGCAGACCAGTCGGCCTTCGACGTGCTGGAGGGCGTGGTTGCCGCCAAGAGCACCCCGGACAGCGTGGACCTGAAGCTGTCCAACTACAGCACCACGGCGGCCATGAACGGCTCCATCGCCTCGGCCAACAACGCCACGCTGGCCACGGTGGCCGCCAACTACGGTCTCAAGACGGTGGTGGACCAGCACTCCCGAGACATAGCGGCGAGGATCACGCCGCTGGAGGTGGACACCAAGGTGGCCAACGCTCTCCTGGGGGCCGTCACCGCCGCGGCGCTGGCCTCCGAGCTCGCGAGCCGAGACGCCTCCAACTCGGGGCTGCAGGCCTCCAAGGCGGACGCCAGCGCCCTGACTGCTTACGCCCTGCAGTCGGCCGTGGACACTTCCTCGGAGGTGGACTCTAAGATAGCAGCGGCCCTCCTAAACGCAGTCACCACGGCAGCCCTGGACGCCGCCCTCCTCCGGCAAGGCGGACGCCAGCGCGCTGGCCTCCCTGCTCTCCACGGTGGACGGGTTGGACACGCCGCTGGAGGTAGACACAAAGATAGCAAATGCCCTGCTGGGTCTCGCCACCGAGGCCTTCGTCGCAGCGCAGCTTGCTAGCCGGGACGCCAGCATCACGGCGCTCCAGGGGGCCAAGGCCGACGCGACTCTGCTGGCCTCATACGCCACGAACGCCGCGCTCTCGGCCAGCGAGACCACGCTCCAGAGCGCCCTCGACGCAATCCTCGCGGAGCTCGCAGCCCTGCAGCTTTCCGGCAGCGGCGGAGTTGTTAACGCGCCGGCCTTGGCGGGCTTCACGACTTGGGAGCTCGTTCGCGGAAGTAACGTCGTTCGCAACCTGCATTTCGTGGCTCCTCTCTCTGCTGCGCTTGCCAACGGCGACGACACGCTGAGCATCACGGCAGACTGCTACTCCACGGCGGGCACTGACGCCGCCATAACAGCAGCCCTGCTGGCCTACTACACCTCGTCTCAGGTAGACGCGCTGTTGGGAGACTACCGCACAGGGGCAGCGCAGGACGCTGAGACGACCAGCGCCATCACAGCAGCGCTGCTGGCCTACTACACCTCGGCGCAGGTAGACGCGCTGTTGGGAGACAACCGCACGGCAAGCGCGCGAACACAAACTAAAAACACCACAAAAGGACCCCCCGCCCACTTCGCCACAACCACACGCAGACAAACTATCCGACAGTCAACGCAGAACCAAGCCGCCAAAAAGAACATAAAAACGCGGGCGCGCTGCTGGCCTACCGGACGGGCCCAGACCAGGACGTCTTCACAACCAACCAAATCACCTCGGCGCTGGTGGCGTACCGCTCAGCCGCAGACCAGGACACGGCGACGGCCTCGAGCATCGCCGCCCCGCTGCTCAGCTACTACACCATCGCGCAAGTAGACGGCCTCCTCGCCGGCAAGCTCGGCAAAAAAAAAAAAAAGCGCACGCCCACACGAGCAAAATCCCACCCCCCCCCCCCCCCCCCCAATCAGCCTCGGCTCTGCAGGCGATTAGCAGTGCGCTTATCCCGGACGACGGAGGGGCCGACGAGGTGGTGGCCGCCATAAGGAGAGCAGATCCTCTGCCCCCACTACATCAACACATAAACCGGACGACTCTCTGTCAAAACTGGACGGTTTTCGCACCCATCAGCGGCTGCAGCGTGGTCCTGGCCACGCCACACCGCTGGCGCAGTGACAAGGGAACAGATTGCGGATCAGGAGAGCGTGGACGGCTACACCCTGACCCTGGCGGCGAACCCGTGGAACAACGTGCGCACCTACAACTTGACGCCCGGCCGAGAGCTGCTCTTCGCCTGCCGCTACCGGCTCGGTACGGCCTCCAACTTCGTGGTGTACATGTCCGAGGCCGACAACGTCTACGACCCATTGTACGGCAGCTTCGTGGGCGACCAGGGCGCCTGGAGCACGGCCAAGATGTACTTCCCCGTGCCGCCCAACGGAGTGGCGAAGCTGCACTTCGGCGCGCACTTCCAGGCGCCGGGCCTGCCCAACCAAACGGCAGGAACGGTGGACGTCTACGGCCTCCAGATCCTGGACGCAACCCTGGAGACCGGCAACGCGGTGGAGGCGGAGGAGGACACGGCGGCCTCGGCGCTGCTGCTGACGCACGAGTTCCTCGACGGAGGGGCCGACGACGTCACGCTGGCCACCCTGGGCGAGGTGCTGCTGGAGCCCCCGCTCACCACGCTAGGCAACTTCCTGGTGCGCTCCAACAGCCAGAGCTCCGTGGCCTCGGCCAGCTTCACGGTGGGAGGCTTCCAGCTGGAGGGCTACGCCATGACCCTGAGCGCCTTCGCCTGGAACATCGTGCGCACCTACACGCTGACGCCAGGGAGACGCTACTCCTTCGGCTGCCGGTACCGGCTGGGCACGGCCTCCAACTTGGTGATGTACGTCAGCGCGGCCGACAACGACTACGTGGGCGTCACCGGCACCTTCCTCGGCACGCCCTCGCAGGGTGTGTGGAGCACGGCGCGCCTGGACTTCTCGGCGCCGCCGGGCGGAATTGCGAAGCTGCACTTCGGAGCCTTCGGCGGCTCGATCCCCGGGCTGGTGCAGCAGTCGGCGGGCACGCTGGACCTGTACAGCATGCAGATCAGGGCCACTGCCTTCGAGGGAGAGTCTGTCTCAGTAACGGACCTGCTGGCGGACTCGCTGGCCCTCACGGGCTCGGCCACGCTGGACGGGCTCACCGCGCAGGGCAACCTCGGCTGCGACCAGCTGCTGTGCAACGACGTGAACTGCACCGACGTGTTCACCACGGGCGTGGACGCCTCGGGCGCCGTTTCCTGCGCAGCGCTCACAGCCACCGGCACCGTCGCCGGGGCCACGCTGTCGTCCAGGGCCGTGTCAGGCAGCTCGCTGAGCATCAGCGCGCGGCCAGCGTGGGCCTGCTGAGCTCCGCCACAGGAATACGGGCAGCACGCTCACCATCAACAACACGGCCAACGCCGGGAACTTCACCACGGTGGGCGACGTGTCCACGGGGACATTGACGGCCTCGGGCGCAGCGAGCTTCGCGGCCGCCGGGGCGCTCACGGGCGCCACGCTGACCATCACCGGGGCGGCCTCCACGGGCCCGCTGGACTGCGAGAGCCTGGACTGCAACGGCCACGAGCGGCGGAGTGTCGACGGGCAGCGTGGTCTGCGGCGACGACGAGCTCGGGCACGGTCTCCGCGCCGCAGCTCTTCGCCTCCAACACGCTCATCGTGACCAACACCTCAGACTTCTCGGACGATCTCTTCCTGACGAAGAACTGGGCGGGCTGGAGCAAGCTGCAAGTGTCCAACAACAGCGCGGCCTCCGACAGCGGCCCAGAGCTGCGGCTCTGGCAACCAGAGCGCCAGGGTCTTCCTGGAGCGGGATGGCGGGACGCACCAGTGCGAGCTCATCATGATCAACGATGAGGCGCTGGTGCAGACAAAGAGCCTCTCGACGCAGCTGTCCTTGACCACGAACCAGAGGAACCCCGGCTGCCTCGTGATCGCGGGCAACACGGGCAACGTGGTCTGCAACACGAGCTTCACGAATTTGTCGGACAGCAGGGTGAAGACGGACATGGCATGGCCGAGGCCGACGTGGCGGAGCTCCAGCAGCTCTTCGACTCCGTGGAGGCCAAGCAGTACAAGCGCCCGGACATGAACGAGGACCTGAGGCTGGGCTTCGCGTCAAACGACTTCGCAGGAGCGAAGTGGAAGAACCTGACGGGCACCGCGAGGTGGAGCGACGGCACGGAGATGGTCACCCTCGACTACTCTCACCTCACCAGCGTGCTCTGGGGGTGTGCAAGGGCTTCCAGGCCCGGCTGGACGAGGTGGAAGCCTGGCAGGCCCAGCGGGGGCCGAAGAAGCCATAAGAAACATGGCCGACGCCCGCAGGCGAACCATCAAGGCCGTCTACGAGGATCCCCGCACCGGTTTCGGCAGCATAGCGCAGACGCTGCAGCAGGCCCAGGTGCGCGACCCCAGCATCTCCAGAGGGGAGGTGAAGGCGTTTCTGGACGGCCTCCGGGTGAACCAGGACCGGCCGCAGAGAGGCTACAACAGCTTCGTGCCTCTGGAGCCCATGAACCAGCTGCAGGTGGACCTGGCCGACATGAGGGCCTTCGGCGGCAAGCCCTACCCCTTCATGCTGGTGGCCATCGACGCGCTCACCAAGAAAGTGGTCGCGGAGCCGCTGAAGGACCGTCTTGCGAGCACCACCGCGGCGGGCATGAAGAAGGTCTTCCAAGCCCTGGGGTGCCGGCCAACGTGTACTCCGACGACGGCTCCGAGTTCAAGAGGGAGTTCAAGGAGCTGATGGATTTCTGGGACATCGAGAAGCAGGTGACCAGGGGCCACGCCTACTTCGCGGAGCGCACCATCCGCGCCATCAAGGAGGCCATGTTGCGCCGCATAGCAGCCGGAGCGGGCCGGCGGGGGCAGTGGCACCTCATGCTGGCCGACATCCTGAGCCAAATCAACGGGAGGAAGCACGCTACCACGCAGGTGGCGCCGAACCTCGCCTACTCTGACCCCGAAATGGCAGAGATTGCTCTGCGCAACATCGAACGCAGGGCCAAGCACAAGGTGACCCGCCCGGAAATCAAGGTCGGGGATATGGTTCGGAACAGGGTTAAGCCGATCGAAAGCAGGGGCTCCTACAGGGTCAACGAGATAGCCTGGAGCGAAAAGGTATACAGGGTTGTCTCCGCCGAGAGCGGGGAGATGGGGGCAAGGTTTGGCTTGGAGGGGTGGCCGGAAAAGGTGGTGCACAGGGATCTTCGAAAAGTCCCCGAAAACTCAGCTCCCGAACCGCGGGGGTTGGAGGTGCAATCCCGCCAGCGGAGGCTACAGAGAGGCCCCAGGCTCCCACCTCCTTTTTGACTGTGCCTCTACGTCTCTACTCTACATCTCGCGACAGCTCCGCCCGCCACTCACTGACAAGCTTCTTCGCGTCAGGTCGGGCCGGGGGCTCGGGCGGGCCCCCATGATCTAGGACCGCGTCCCACGCGTCCCACCTTCCGCTCCACGTATCATGAGCCTCAAACCAGCGCAGGGCAAGCTCTGCCCGCTGGGAGCGCGTGGCCGGCGCTTGAAGAGCCGCAGAGACGTGGCTCACCTCGCTCATGATTTCCTCCAGATCCGTGCTCGCAGCGAAGCATTGCTCCTCGAGGCGTCGGACTTCCGCTTCCTCGCCGAGCAGCTGCTCCTCGAGGAGCTCGATGCGGCGGCGCTGGTGCGAGCGCTCGGCCTCGAGCAGCGCGTCTTCGCGAGGCCGCTTGGTGGAAGGCCGCTGGGTCATCAGAGCAGCCGCAAGGCAGGGTGCGTCCTCGTCCGCCCACGCGGCAGGCTTTTCCAGAAGCCATGCCTGCACGCATCGGAAGGCCTTGGAGGAAGTCATCTCTTTGAGCAGCAATGCTTCGCTGCGGCGGGTCTTTTTTGAGACCATTCAAGCATTTGGGACCATTCGAGCATTTGGCGGGCTTCTTTTTCTAGCTCGTCAGTGCGTCCGCCTACGAAGATTTCTGTTCTCTTCCTCGAGGATCTCGACGCGGCGCTCCAGCGCCTCACGGCGCAAAGTCTCACGGTTGACTTCATCCTCAAGCAGAGAAGCATAATGCCGCTCCGTCTGCAGCAGCGCTAGATCTCGCTCGCCGAGCTCGTAGCTGCGCTCCAGCTGCCCGCGCAGGCCAGCGATGCGGAGCCGGTGGTGCAGGCGCTCGGCCTGGAGCAGCGCATCCTCGCGAGCCCGCGCGTGAGGCCGCTGGGCCATCAGAGCGGCCGCAAGGCTGGCAACGTCCGCCTCCGCCCACACGGCGGGCTTCTCCAGGAGCCATGCCTGCACGCACCGGAAGGCCTCAGAGGAAGTCATCTCTTTGAGCAGCAATGCTTCGCTGCGGCGGTTCGAAATCATTAAGAAAGCGAGAAAACGAGACCTCGGGATCTTTTTTTTCATCTGTACGCTTGCGCAAGGATCCTACTGAGCTGCGCCACCTGCTGGCGGAGAATTCGGTTGCTGTGCTCCACCTCTTCAATGCGCTCCCTGGCTCGCTCGCGATCTCTGTCGATGATATCGTTGAGGCCGCCCACCCGCCGGCGGAGATTTCTGTTCTCGCGCTCCAGCTCCATGCCGCGCAGCGTTTCGACGAGGAGCCCCCAATCGAGGGCCGCGATGCGAGCCCGCTGGTGCGAGCGCTCGGCCTCGAGCAGCGCGTCCTCGCGGGGCCGCTTGCGTTGCATGTCGCAGGGAGGCCGCTGGGCCATCAGAGCAGCCGCAAGGCAGGGAGCGTCCTCGTCCGCCCACGCAGCGGGATTCTCCAGGAGCCATGCCTGCACGCATCGGAAGGCCGCTGAGGAAGTCATATTGAGCAGCAATGCTTCGCTGCGGCGGTTCGAAATCATAAAAGCGAGAAAGCGAGAAGACGAGAAAACGAGAGCTCGGGATCTTTCTTTTTTCAGGTTCCGACAGTCTACGCCCAGCATCGGCTCAGCCGCAGCGGCAATGTCGGAGCGGGCCCCAGAGGCGGGGGCCCCACGAGGAACTCCATCACGAGGTCGAAGGGCGCAGAGCCTGGCGGAGCGTAAGCTCCCAGCATCCGCAGCTGCTCCAGGTTGCGCCAGTGCCCCAGCGGCCGCGAGTTGTGAGCGTCGAGGCCGTAGACCTTGTCGTTGAAGGGCGAGAGGGACTTCTTCTCGACGGTCTCCACGGCGATCTCGTGCGCGCGGCTGCGCAGCTGCGCGAATGTCGCCCTGCGCTCGCTGCCTTCCTCCAGCACCTCCCTGTACTCGAGATGCCGGACGTTGGTCACCGCCTTCTTGGGCACGCCCTTGATCTTGCGCTTCTCCATGCGCGCGCCGTCGGGCTGGACCGTGAGGATGCTGTACATCTTGGAGCGCAGGCCGACATACTCCAGGATCCTGGCGGGGAAGGTCTCGTCGCCGAGCTTGCCCAGCAGCCCCATCACCTCGATGGCCTTGGCGCGCGCCGCAGCAGAGAGTGCACTCAGGTCCCTCTCGGGGTCCTTGGACTTGCCGGCCACGTCGAAGAGGGCGGCGCCGGTCAGGTTCGCCTCGGCCATGGCGTGGAGCGGGTCCTGCAGCTCGAAGATCTGCACCATCACGGAGTCGGTGTCCGTGAAGAGCAGCCTCATCTTCGGGAAGAGCCTCCTCATGTGGAGGTAGTAGGCCTTCTCCATCATGAGCTTGGAGAGCTGCAGCGTGCGGGCGCCGACTTGGTTGGGCACGCTCACGCAGGCCTTGCTGCGGTTCGTCTTGAGCGTCTCCACGAAGGCCAGGAACCCCTCCGAGTCGTTGATCTGAAACTCGAAGTTCGTCACGGAGCTCTTGCCCACAGCCCCCTCGAACTTGACCGGGTCCACGTAGGCGTTCGTGTTCCTGAACTTGTCGGGGTTCATGCAGCAGCGACCGAAGATGGCGTTCTGGGTGAGC